CAATTGCAGGTTCCCTGGCCCTGGTCGGGGTGCATGCAGGAAGCAACCAACCAATGTGTCTCTCTCACATTGATGTTTCTCTCTGTCTCTTCCTCTCCCACTCTCTGTAAAAGTCAATGGAAAAATATCCTCAGGTGAGGATTAACCAAAAAAAAAAAAAAAAAGAAAGAAAGAAAATAAAAGAAAGAAAGGGAAAAAGAGAGAAAATATAAATTTTAAAAAGAAAAAAATAATAAAATACAAATTGACAATCTCTTTTATGCATTTTTAGAGTTCTAAAACTTAAATTTACATTAATTCACTTGGTAACAAAACCAGACCTGAATGAATGTGAGTCTATTTATAGATGTCTTTCTCCACTTACTGTGACTATTAATATCTTTCCCTGCAGAAATATCTGTTTCATGATGACGTGCTACCCTAGACCCCACTGGGGGTGTCATACACAGTATATGCATCATATTACCTTATTAAAATTGGACTTCTTTTTACTTCCAAAACACAACTAGCAGCAAGGGTTTTGCATAAAAGATTATGGACCCTTATAACTGAAGGAAAAAGAAATGTATGCAGCCACAAAAATAGTTACTGAAATCAACACAATTTTCTTGTATCTCCTTTTCCTGCATATTTGGTTAATACTGAAATAAGTCAATCTTTCTTTACTTTTTTCTTTAAAGTGTTGACTGATGGCATACATCATCATTCTTGAAAACCCCAAAAAAAGCTTCCAATGAAATATAATTAAACTCGGACTGAATTGGAGTAGCTGTATCTTAGATCAGAGAGCTGTTGTCGGATGGATCTAAAGACCAGCTTCAGTGGAGGCTGTTGTCAAATTTTTTCCAGCAAGGCCAAATGTCTCCATGAATTCTTCTTTGAGGTATATTGTGTACTGAGGAGCCCAAAGGGACTTAGTAATTTTGGAATCTATAATTCTCAAGACTGTTGACAATCTAAAACCACCAAAATGATAGACTAATTACAATACTCTGGCTCCAAATAAAAAGTTAAGTATAGAAAATTATTTTTAAGCAAATAAAAAACCTAAATGGACCAAAGAGAAATAAGACATTTCTTTTCATCATACAAATTATACTTCAATTATTGCTCAAAATTAACTGATTTCCAAGATGATGATTTACTATGCACAGGTATTAGCCTCCCCACTTGAAAACCCCAATAAAACAGCAGTGAAGTATGTGATGCACCAAAGTGAATAGGAAAGGAATCATTAGATGACATCTCAACAAATTTCTAGAATAAATATAGATTAAAGTACCTATCACAGAACATGAACACAGGAACTACAGGGGATAGTGAGGCACACTTAAATAGAGGGATTAACTCATGGAACAGCTTTGCATGTGGCCCTGCTCAGCACCCCTTACCTTAACTGCAGGCCCTCCAACAAGTTGGCCAGCAACACACCCTATTCAATCAGAGAGATCCTAATTTGTTCTTCTATTCAGAAAATGCAGAGGAATTACCTGAATGATAACAGCAACCTATCCATGTGTTTCTCTCACATTGATATTTCTCTCTGTCTCTCCCTCTCTCTTCCACTCTCTCTAAAAATCAATGGAAAAATATCCTCAGGTGAGGATTTAAAAAAAAAAGAAAGAAAAGTTACAACCACAGTGCATAATAAATTAAGATGATAAAGCCATTAAAATTTGTGTATGGAATATAGAAAACATTCTGATTGATGGCAAGATATTGTACCAGAATGCATTGAGCCTATATGAAACTTTAGCAAGGGATCCCTTGAAAGGAGTGACCACACTCACATAACTTTCATTGCAGTGTATTGTTAGAACTCTTCTATTTTATTATTAGCTATTGTTCTTGATCTCTTACTGTGCCTAACTAACTTATTGAACTTTATCATAAGTACATGTTTATAGGTAACAACTCAAAAAATATATATAAAGGGTTCAGCACTATCCACAGCTGTCAGTTGAACATCCTCAGCACTGCTGTGGAAGCAGGAGAGGCTCCTGCCACTGCCGCTGCACTCGCCAGCCATGAGCCCGGCTTCTGGCTGAGAGGTGTTCCCCTGTGGGAGCACACTGACCACCAGGATGAAACTTTAGCAAGGGATCCCTTGAAAGGAGTGACCACACTCACATAACTTTCATTGCAGTGTATTGTTATTAGCCTTTTATTATATAGGATTGTTCTTGATCTCTTACTGTGCCTAACTAACTTATTGAACTTTATCATAAGTACATGTTTATAGGTAACAACTCAAAAAATATATATAAAGGGTTCAGCACTATCCACAGTTTTAGGCATCCAATGGAGGCTTTGGAACGTAGCTCCATCTTATAAGAGTATGCTACTGTACATCTAATCCTGACAATAGGAATATATGTACAGATTTAAGAAAACTATAATCCCAGGACATTACTCAGCATCTCAGATTATTTTCGACTGTCAAGCCCTCAGACAGGCCTTTCTTAACCACACTATTGCTTCACCCGCTTTATTTTTATTCCCCTAGCATCTGTTATTATCCAACATTAAATCACATGCATTATTTCACTGATTCTAATACACACATTCTTCCCACTTTAATCCCATTGAAACCAGCAAGCATCTCACAATCTACACATAGCATTTTACAACTAGTCAGCCAGATGGCAGTCTTGCTACTGGGTGAAAAACCTTCAAAGGATAGATACCCTCTGGAATTATTTAAAAAGCATCAGCATCAAAATGCCTCAGATTAAATGAAATGCAATATTTATTTTCTTACTGGGTTATCTCCCCTACTCTCAGAAACATAAGGGTAGTAACTTTTTGGTGTGTTTTTTTTTTGTTTTGTTTCTTTTGGGGACTGGGTCGAGGAGTGTAATCTTTGTATCCTCCACTAACTTTTTTTTTTTTAAATCTTTGTATCCTTCACACACAGAACAGTGGCTGGCATGTAATAGATACATAATCAGTGCTACATTTTAACATCTCTGAAACTAGGATGGATCCAACAGGATGGTTCCTACATAACTAGCCCTGATGTGTTTTTTTTTCTTAGTAGTACACATAACAATGGTGAGTCATACAATAGCATCTAAGATTTGAAGAAATTCATTAACAAAAAATTTATAGGAAAATGGAGACAGTAGTGTGAGTGAATGGACTCATTTAAAAACATGATTCTAAAGGTTGGTAAATACAAGAAACAGAAATATAAGCTTATGATTTAAAAAAAAAAAAGATTTCATTGATTTTTAGACAGAGAGGAAGGGAGAGGAGGAAAGAGAAACATCTATGTGAGAGTGAAACATTGACGTGAGTGAAACATTGATGGGCTGTCTCCTGCACAGCTCCTTCCGGGAATCCAACCCCAGGAAACCCGGCATGTGCCCTGACCACGGAATCAAACTGGCAACACTTCAGTGCATGGATGATGCCCAACCAACTTAGCCACACAGGCCAGGGCAGCTTATGATTATTTTTTGAGTTATGGGACTAAATACTAAAAGAAATAGACACAAAAAGGGCCAAACATGATTGCCTCAGGGAAAGATACAAGAGAATATTTTAGTTTTTCAGTAAATCAGCCTGTATTTTTAAATATATATTATTTTTACCAAGTGCACATACCTTTTTATGAACCGTTCTTATGAATGTTTAGTAACGGGGAAAGCACAGATTCACACCTACAAATCAGTGACTGAGACAGTCATTCACACGGATACAGACAGAAAGATACCCAGGAGCAGAGTCAAAGTCAAAATCGATTTTCATTTGGCAAAATTTCAACTGGGCAACG